TTTCCCTCATAAAAATAATAACCGTAGCCGCTTAACGCGCTTCGGTCATAGAATTTCCATGTCGAACTCGTAAACTTCGATCACTAATAGTTGATTGTCAGGTAGGTCCCGAACTACACCGAATTAGCAAATGGTTTTTCAGAAAACCAGCGGCAGACGCTATGATGAACTCCGAGGTACAGGGATTGATGCATTACATGACTCTGTTACTCAGTTTTTATAGATCGTACATAGTTTCTGTCGGTTGTGATTCTTGGTAGTGAGCAATTTTGTTCTTCCGTTACTTAATTAAATTCGTTGAGAATAATCGATTCTAGATAAGACAGTCTGCCTTGATAAATAACAACTGTCTTGTATATGAAAACGATGGCTAAATTCTGAATAAACGTAACTTAACGACAGCATTTCAAAATTCATGTTTATAGTCCAGGCGCCTGGTAAGTCTACCTGGAATTTTGGGTACACAGCGATTTTTTTGGCCTACTTTATGTTTTTTGGGTCGCTGAATCCGAATCTGAAGTTTCCGCACGCGTATCTGGTGAGCATTTTCCGCTATTTTGAAAAAATGGCCTAAAAAGGCCTTTTTTTGCGGTTTTTTTGATATAGCGGCTACGGATGAGGAAAAGTCCCGGATTTAGCTAATGTTTTGAATAGCTGACATAATTTGGAAGAAAATGGTGTATACATATGTTAGGTTTGCTTAAAAATTGAGGAAGATACAGCATCGTGAACATCGCGCCCATTCACGTTTTCGCGGCGCACCCGTTAACGCGTGATCCGGCTCGCCGCGGTCAGCTAAGGACCGAAGCCTTCCAAAGTTCCGAGATCCGAGATTCCTCAATTTTTGAGCAAACCTAGCATATTTATACACCATTTTCTTCCAAATTTTGTCAGCTATTCCAAACATTAGCTAAATCCGGGACTTTTCCTCATCTGCAGCCGCTATATCAAAAAAACCGCAAAAAAAGGCCTTTATAGGCCATTTTTTCAAAATAGCGGAAAATGCTCACCAGATACGCGTGCGGAAACTTCAGATTCGGATTCAGCGACCCAAAAAACATAAAGTAAGCCAAAAAAATCGCTGTGTACCCAAAATTCCAGGTAGCCTCATTTTGAGCTACCAGGCGCCTGGACTATTATATTTCTTTTTTTTTTAAAGAAAAACTAACAAAAATTATGGCTCGATATTTTCGCGAAAAAATCGTAAAAGGGTAAAGAATAATAAAAAAAGTTTAAAAGAACCATACCTAGTTGTTTTACTCTTTCCGAAAATAAAACTTTAAAAGGACGCCGCATTTCAAGACGAAACATGTTTTTAGAGTTCATTGATCGACTTATTGAAACTAGGGGGCTACGGCTCTTGGACGTCACGCGCAGTCTAACCCTATGAGATGGCACAACAAAATTTATAAAGAATATTTTTGAAATGTTGAGGCAAAATCTCGCTAAACTTTTTGATGAACCTAGATGCTTGATGCTATGATGCTTTTAGAAAGATAAGTCCCCGCATCTTTTTTTTTATGTATTCTGAGAGCTCCATAAAGCCTAAGATAGCCGCACCCTGGTAAAAGTTGGCGATAGGAACTGCGTTTCAAAATACCATAGGAGTTCTTATAGCCGACTGAAGAAGGCGATAGAAAATCATATAGCTGGCTGTAGAAAGTTTAAAAATCATACGGCCGGGCTACACGAAGCGATAAAAAATTATACAGCCGGGCTATAATTCCTATCGCCGGGCTTTACACTTTATCGCCTGGCTGTTGCTTTTTCGCCATCGGCTATAAAAGGCTATAAGACATTGTGTAGAAATTCGTGTGCTTTGTAAATCCTTAAGTTTGTACGGAATAACCGTAATATTTACAAAACGCACATTATATTTTCCTTTACTACATATTTTTTTTTTTCATCAATTAAAATGAGAATAATCTATACAGAGTGTGCAAAAATTTCAAAGTTATGAGTTGATAAACGCTGACTCCACGATTGAATGATTAAATATTAGAGTCTAATACAAAGCGGAGCGGCGGCGTCCTGGCGCCTGCAAACCTAACAGGGAATTGTCTAGTTACCTTTATTTCCTTTCTAGAATGGGTTTGACGGCTCAAACAACACATTTTGCCTGGAAACTGTTTCAAATTATGTCTTCATCCATATTCTCAGGATAACTAATTTCCGCACCTCTCAGGAAATTTTACCAAAATTTGACAGGGAAATCAGGAACCTATCCCTGTTAGGTTTGTAGGCGCCAAGCGCGTTTCGCGCTGGCTGCCCGCCCGCCGCAGCGTACCACGGCGTTTGAAGCAACTATTTCACACCAGAGGTATTGCACAGTATCATACGAAATTGAAGGCTCTCCAACATATTAGGAATGACAGGCATCCTTCATAAGTGCGGAGCTTTCCTCGCAAAATAAATCAAGATACTACGTCCCAAAAAGAGAGCGGTAGGTAGTCCAAAAACTCACTAAGTCCTAGCATCCGTATAATCAGTAACGATTAGCATACACTTTATCGCTAGGCTGTTGCTTAGTCGCCATCGGCTATAAAAGGCTATAAGAAATTGTGTTGCCGGCTATAGAAGCTATTGGAAATCTTACAGCCGGCTGTAGGTCTATGGTATTTTGGAACACAGATTCTACTGCCAATTTTTACCAGGGCAGTCAGGGAATAATACCGGGAAAATCGGGAAATGTTAGGGGAAAATTGTCTAGTTACCTTTATTTCCTTTCTAGAATGGGTTTGACGGCTCAAACAACACATTTTGCCTGGAAACTGTTTCAAATTATGTCTTCATCCATATTCTCAGGATAACTAATTTCCGCACCTCTCAGGAAATTTTACCAAAATTTGACAGGGAAATCAGGGAAATGTCAGGGAATTTCATTCTCGAAATTCTGTGTCAACCCTGAATAGGTGAGCCAATCAGAAGGGGATCTTCCAATGACCATGCTCTCCCCGTAAAGGTACGAGCGAACGGGCAGGTTAAAACTTATTTTTGCGCCTGGTCGCTTGGTTAAATTCGTCTCGCGCGCCGCCTGTTGAGCCGTAGCTTATGAAGAGAAGGGCAAAGCGACGACTTCCAGCGAAGATGACATCACCACCTCCTTCTCAAACAATGACTTGAGTCGAATACTGGTCGAGGTCACCGCGAAATTCGTCACGTCTGCTTATCAAATATTGTGCGAATAGTCTGCCTGAAAGCCTGCCTGTCATGCAGTCACGTCTCGCGTACCTCCCTCTAGAAATCCCCGGAATTTCGTCAATCTAACGGAATTTCGGACCTAACGAATGCAGCGAAAACAGTTTATCTCACGTTAATTTCGCAAAAGCAGTGCCACGCAGAGAATGGTTCAGCTCCAAAATTACTTTAGTTTTTAAAATTGGGATGAAATAAGAGAAGCAGAGAAAGAAGACCAATAAAGAGGAAGGATAATATAAAATGAGGGAGCTAATTACCGCATAAGTTTTCGCGTAAATAAAAAGTTTTTAAGGATAATAATGATGAGTGATCAGGAAAGCTTGAAGTATGGTGAATCAGGTGTGCTCGGTGTAGTATAGGAGGAAGAGGTAGAGAAGAGAAAATTGGGGAGGATGAGATAGGGAGGGTGAAAAACATATGAGTGAGATGGAATATAGCATCCACCCTAATCCAGCCATGAGTGGAACTAGAAATTTTTTGTGGGGTGGGTAGAAGGGTGCTTCATCAAAAAGGGTCGGGAGAGGGCAAAGAAACCTTGAAAAGCGAATTTGAAGGTATTTACTAGGCTCTATAGAGAACTCGAAAGACCTTCCTCGGAAATGTTTGAAAATAAGGCCAGCTTATGAGCAATTTTGAGGTGTTTCTACAGGTATAGAACGCTCTATTGTGGGCTGATTGTTGAAATTGGTAGACAGAGCCATAGACAAAGAGGACAAAACGGGTACGGAGGGATCCTATTGGTGGAAGCCGGTGGGTTCAATGAAGAAAGGAGGTAGGTAATAGACTAACTATCGGTAACCCACGATAGACCCTATAATTTACCCTAAATACCCCTATTTACCCCTTAATTTACCTTAGTCCATAATTTACCCCCTTCGTCTATGAGAACCACCCATTCGCCATTTCAACCAACAGGAATGTTCCATACTCCCTATGTCTTCTTTGCCCATAGCTCTGTCTATAAATTTCAACAATCAGCCCGTTGCTTATTTAAAAAGGACCTTAGTCGACATAAACTTAAAGTTAAATTAATTTACCATGGTACAGAGTGTGCCACAAACAATGGGCCAATTGCGCTGGTAACAGAATCGTGTTTGGATGCTTGAGTCTTGTAGACTGGCTAAAAATAAATGGATCTGTCCCGACAGCAGCTTTTTACAAATATTAACCGAGATATCGTCCATTGAAAAGTCGGGTTTTTAACGTCATTCACTGCGGTAGTGCATAACATGGTATGTAGTTATGTACTACCGCGGTGAATGACGCCATCAACCGAGTTTTTCAAGGCGCTATATCCCGGTTAATATTCAACGTAAAGAGTTGCCGTTTGGATGGATCTTATTATTTTTAGTTGATTTGCTAGAATAAAGCTTCAAAACACGATCCTGTGACCAGCGCAACTGACCCATTTGGGTGCTTCGGTATATACTGAAGGGTGCAGGTCACACATGCTGAAGCACCTCGGTGTAATGCCGAAGTACTTCAGATGTTTGACCCGAACTTCGGGAGCTGGACCCCAAGTTTTCGGATGTGCGAGTATCGTCAATGATCGATTATTGATGTATCCCAATTGGAGTTATAGTAAAAGATCGATTATTAAGGTGTTCGTCGTAAACACCCTATGTTTATCGATCCTTTTCCATAGGTTTAAATGACAGATTAATCGATATATCGCAAAACACGCCACTCCAATTGCGGGACACCCACATCATCTTAACTTCGGGTCCCAAATTTTTCTCACCGAGAATAAGGTCCGTTTTTTGATGGACAATCATATATCTGTATATGCACAGGGTCTTTACCTGCAGAGCAATGTGCCGTCCTTTAATATTTCATAAAAGTTGTCCATGTCTCCAGCGACATCAATATTTTCGTCGGTCACTAATTTGATCCATTCTAAACATTCTTGAGCGAGTTCCTCGCTGTATTTGCTGTTAATCTGAAACAGAAACAATTTTTTTGTATTGTTTGAAATTGAAGCGGTTCCTGCGAGAAGGTATTGAATGAGTAAAGTTTGATAAAAAATGTATGAAGTTTGCACTGAAAGTTTGATACAGTAAATTCGACTCTCCTACGGATCAAAGTGCATAATCCTGAAATTGCAGGGGCACTTGCGTGTAATCACGTCTGTACGACGAGGTATTATACTTGTTCTTTGACGAGTAATGCGAGACGGTATACAACTACTACACACTAGCACACGCACCCTCTCCAAAATCAAAGTAGCCAATGTTACTAGTAATACTAGGGGGGAAAGGAAATCTGACTCGCCAAGGAAAAACAATGGCCTTTCGAATGTTCCTTGGTTTTCTCCGATAAAATACGTTCATTTTCGAAGAAAATCCTGAATTGTATTCCTTGGATTATCCGGATACATTGGATAAAATCGCGAACAATTCTCAGAAAATTTCGACAGAGACAATTCGCAAGTTAGACGGATAAATTATAAAATAAAATTTAAAAACTCACTAGTCAGAGAAAATTCGAAACTATCCGACGCACGTTTCGACCCGTTGGATAGTTTCGAATTTTCTCTGACTAGTGAGTTTTTAAATTTTATTTTAACCGTTGACCTAGTCTGGTACTTTTTAAAATAATAGAGGATAAATTATATATCATCAAAAAAAGTTGGCAACTTTCCACGGAACGTACGGCGTTTTTCCTTGACAAGGCAGACATCTTCTGCACGATTCGCATGAAGAGAGGAAGTTTGCTTTGACGCCTGAGCACTAACAATGAGCACTTGCGCACCAGATAAGCTTTGTTATTCACGGCTCAAACTCCATCCTTTCATATCTGTCCATCCTCAGCAATCGTCCTATGGCTAGATATAGCGGTATCCATTGGGAAGGGGCGGGGGGGGGGAAAGAAGGGGGAAGGGGGAGGAGGAGGAAGGAGAAGCACGTACCCACACACCCGACTGGAAGCGATAGGAGCGTAACACTTCGCAGAAAATGAAGCGTCCTTACTTAATGTAAGAGACATTAACTGTTTTCTCGAGTAGGAATCAAGTTGGCATCATTTACTATTTTCAATAAAATTGAGGTCTTCATACATTGATGAAATACGTCGTTTCGTTTGCAACGTTACAGTTTTAACAGATCACCTAGCCTATGATTGAAATTGATAGACAAAACTACAGACAAAGAAGACGAAAGGGATATGGAAGGATTTTATTGGTGGAATCGGGTGATAGCAACGTATAAAAGAGGTAGGTAATGGACTAACTAACGGAAACCGACGAGAGGCCTTTTAGTTAGTCCATACTTTTCTCCCTTAGTCTGTAAGAACCACCCATCTTAACCGATAGGATCGTTACATATTTCCTATGTCTTCTTTGTCTATAGCTTTGTCTCTCAATTTCGATAATCAGCCCGCAGAGGAGAGACAATGCACAGAGCAACTCTTGGAATTTTTGTTGAATTTCCTCGTCATATACGATACATAGAGGACTCTCTCTTTCATTTCTAACGATTGATAGGCTTGGGGGACGAGGTGCATAAGTGCAGTTCTTGAAAACCTCGAGGTATTAATGTTTTCAAGTGAAACTGGTTTTCATAGATGCATATTCGGTGAAAAATGCGCTCCCAAATTCCAATTTTTAAGCATTAAAATGTCAGTTTGAACTTTCTTCCCGCCATAGGATCCACTTAATTTCGAGACTTAACACGTATTCCTCGAAATGGCGAAAACTGCAATTCTGCACCTTGTCCTCTAAGCCTCTTAATTGCATTCATTTGTTTCCCGCAAAAGAATAGAATAACAGCGGGAAGTTCGAACCGTTGCAATCAAGTAATCTGTTCATCTACCACCGCACCATCGATCACAGTTGCTGTAATGCACCAACTTGGTTGATTTACATTCAGAAGCATTACTCTGATTGGCTGGCTTAGCCAGGACAAAATCAACCATATCGTAGGTACAAAACTCCAACTTTTAGTTCAGTGGTATACAACCCCTCACTTACAAATGCCTTCAGAGGTTGGAGACAATGAGTCAACTGGAGGTAGGATTGATGTTGCCATGAAATGGGATCCGAAAAAAGACCCTACCCTGGTAAAAATTGGCAGTAGAATCTGTGTTCCAAAATACCATAGACCTACAGCCGGCTGTAAGATTTCCAATAGCTTCTATAGCCGGCTACACAATTTCTTATAGCCTTTTATAGCCGATGGCGACTAAGCAACAGCCAGGCGATAAAGTTTATGCTAAACGTTACTAATTACGGATGCTAGGACTTACTGAGTTTTTAGAATACTGCTCTCTTTTTGGGCCGTAGTATCTTGATTTATTTTGCAAGGAAAGCTCCGTACTTTTGAAGGATGCCTGCCATTACTAATATATTAGAGCGCCTTCAATTTCGGATGATACTGTGCAATACCTCTGGTATGAAATAGTTGCTTCAAGCGCCGTGGCACGCTGCGGCGCGGCAGGCGGGCAGCCAGCGCGAAACGCGCATTGGCGCCTACAAACCTAACAGGGATACTCCACGCATTGCGCAACGCGTGAAGTATCCCTGTTAGGTTTGTAGGCGCCAGTGCGTCGCCGCTCCGCGCTGTGTTAGGCTCTAATATTTAATCTGGAGGAATCAGCGTTATTCAACTCATGATTTTGAAATGTTTGCACATCCTGCATGGATTATTCTCATTTTAATTGATGAAAAAAAATATGTATTAAAGGAAAATATAATGTGTGTTTTGTAAATATTAAGTTGGTTCCGTATCAAACTTAATGATTTCCAAAGCACACGATTTTTTCCTCGGTCATTTGCATGCTCATTTTCTCGTTTTAATTTGTACATTTTTTAGCTTCTGTTCCAGTTGAGAATGGGTATGTAATTGGCCCTGGTTGTTTTATGTGTCCTCTAGCCTTGTATACCCATTTGTTTTTTATATTTTAGTGTGTTTTTATTGTTAAAGCACACGAATTTCTACAAAATTTCCTAGGCCTTTTATAATCGATGGCGAAAAAGCAACAGCCAGGCGATAAAGTGTGAAGCCCGGCGACAGGAACTATAGCCCGGCTGCATAATTTTTTATCGCTTCGTATAGGCCGGCCGTACGATTTTCTCCGCATTCTACAGCCAGTTATATGATTTTCTGTAGCTTTCTTTAGCCGGCTATAAGAATTCCTATGGTATTTTGAAACGCAGCTCTTATCGCCAATTTTAACCAGGGTACTGCAAATTAATCGTGGTCTTGAGGTCCCATTTGTAGGTGTCGAACATCGGAAATTGGATTTCACCTCGAGCAACTATTTTAACCTCCCGGAGATCAAATTGCATTACCATCGAAATGAAGGAACTTTGGGAGAGTCCGGTCTAACATTTTTAAACATACATTTGGACTGTGTTTCCTTCTATATAGTCTACTTAAATTTTTTTCTTTTCCTTCAAATTTTCCCCCATACTTTAGTCTTGGTATTTGCATTCAAATTTTCTTTTTTTATTTACACTCCTTGGAGGATTGGAAAAGACTGTCAAATATTTCATCTTAGTCTGATAGACTTGAGTCTTAGGAATCATAATGTATGCCCGACGAGAATGCATCAGGCATCGGAAGAAAGAGGAGCAGATAAGAATGCGAAGTCCAAGGAGGAAAATAATGAGAAGAAGTACAAAAGGAATAAGAGGGAGGGAAAAATAGGGAAGAAAAGAAGGAGGAAGAGGGAAGAAGAAAGAAGCGGAGGGAGAGTTAGAGGAAGAAAAAAGATCAGACGATGGGGAAGAAAAGGAATAAGAGGAGAAAGACGCAGAAGAAGACAGAAGAAGAGGCCAAGGAAGAAAAGGAGCAAGGAGGTGAGGAATAGAGAGAAGCAGAGAATGACGTTCTTACTCTTCGTCTTTTTTTTCTATCTCCTCTTTTCCTCCTCTCTATTTTTCTTCTTCCTCCTTCTTTGTATATTTCTTCTTCCTCCGTCTTTCTATTTTTCTTCTTCCTCCTTCTCTCCTTTGGATTTAAGACCTTTTCCCGGAGGCTAATAAGTAAGGGCTCGGATAGGGTCAAGACGCACAGTGGATCGAGTTAAGTAGAAAAGTCGGACATGAAATTTTTGACTAAAACTGCACATTTTTATGTTTGTTTCGTCACATTTTAAACTTTTAGGGGTGCTACTTGAAGAAAATTTCACGAGGAAACCAATGAAACCACTTTTAGAACTTCAAAGTTTTGTATAAACGGAGTTATAAGCGTTTAAAGTTCCCACATCATGTCCGAATTCTCCTATTGACTCGATCCAGTGTGAGACGGATCCAGAGGACTCGCATTTCTCTTATCGCGACTAACGATGTGTAACGATTACCCTAAGTTTGTTTTAAAGGGAATTAACAATTGTACGAAAAATGGAGGACACTCTATGATCTTCCTCAGAACTCCAAAGCTGGAGGTTCTGTTTTATTCTGGTAAGACAGCAGCGCTGGTGGACTCCACTCAGGTTCAAAACCACTTCAAATGCTGCCGTGCAAATTGAAAACACCGTATGAGCCATCAGACTTTGCCATGTTTCCCCCGACAAATCACAAACTTTTAGGAACATTTGTGAATATTTCGCCTCCAAGTGCTCACCGGATTTCGCTCGTAATTTGATCCAAAAGATCTGAACATTTCAAGGAAGAATATTCCCAACTTTCCTAAAAATCAAATATTTTCCAAGAAGAAATTCGGCAATATTCGAATGCGATTTTTATCGAGGCGTTTTTACTCAGCACGGCCAAGTGGCTCGGTCACCCGACGTTTATTATAAAAGTCCTGGGTGATGGAGATTCCTGCAGCCCAGAGCTAGAGGCCCCCACTTAATTTGGTGGACATGGCGAGGCGTGAATGATCGATTATCGAGATGTCCCTATTCGCAGCTATGGTGAAGAATCGATCAGTGAGGTGCTCGTTGCCGACACACGTTTTATCGATCCTTTTCCATTGGTTTGAACGGGAGATGAATCGA